CCTGTGATTTAAGTGGTTTGGGAAGGACCCTGATTGATGTCTACCACAGTGTCTTCACTGAATGGATCCTCTACCAAACAGTTTCGTTCATGCTGTTCCTGCCATAAAAGGATTGAAAGTGGAGCTAAAATTCCAACTCTGATATCTCTGGACAAAGTAAATCAGAAGAGCAGCATTGCAACCTGGCATTTAGCACAAAGAAAACAACACACTGAGCAGGAAATACAGAACGGCTTCATGACAAAAATGAAAAGAAAACAAAGGATTATTTGGTTGTTTTTTTCCTCTACATTTCAGAATTAGCCCCTTTGTTTTTGAATGGGCTTGAAGAAACATTAATCCCCACCATTCAGGTCTCAGGTATTATTCATAGATTCAACTGATTTCAGTGCTGCAACCTTGACATTGCCCATCATATGCATTTGTGGCGTAGCTCCACCGTTTCTCATCTGTTTCAAGACCCCATGTGCCAGAAACATGCTGTCAGGCTTTGTCTGTGATCTGCTGAACAGCTTCACCTGACAAAGGGGGCATAAAGCAAGAAAGAGATGATCGTGCTGCATGGTAACCAGGGAATGTATAGCTTTACAGGAGGACACAAGTAAAAAGGAATCCAGTATAAAAGGATCTTTCTTCTCTGCAGCTTAGCACAAATATACCTCCCTAGTCATGTAACCACAAGTGCATGGGAGTACCTATCACCTGACCATACATGGGTAGTCTTACATTTCAGAGGACAAGAGAGATGAATACATAATTCATAAACATAATCTTTCAGGAAAATCTTACCTCTCCTGTGTCCTCGGTTAGACAGTATCAAAGACGTACTTTCAGAAATACTATTAGAGTCACTGCAGTCCACGGAGAGTTGTCTGTAATCTTCTGTTGACCGACTATAATTCATTAATCTGGACCCTTTGTCTGGAAACAGAAAGGAAATATGGTGAATCACATACTTTAATTATAAATCATTGTATCTGTATGAAAACATAAATAACATTTGGCTTGACTAATTTTTATATAGTCCACGTCTGTCTGTCTTCTAACCATGACTTCAATTCCTTAAGGACCGAGGAAAGCTTGGTAACTTCATTCTATTACTTTCATAATCTTATTCTGACCCAAAATAGTTCTCATAGTTCTCCTCAACCATTCCAAATAAAACAAATCTAATATATTAATTCTATTTTGCATGTTTCACTGAAAGTTTGCAAAGTGCAGATAACCCGCAAAATTTTCCTTCTTTATATTCTGAGGCCCAAAACCTTCAGCTATGAAGCATTCTTTGTGTGTGCTGGACGGACATCGCCCAGACACAGTCCATACCAGAGTCGGCTGCAGAAATTCCATTAAGCGGTCATCCTACGGTAATGGTACATCCATTAGGAAGTACATATTTCTGTTGCACCCTAACTTTACTTCGGTTGCATTGTCACTTGTCCTTTTCCAGAACCTCTGAAGGTGATCATTTTTAATTAAAAAAAAAAAAAGACAGAAATGGAATGCTGCCTTGCAAAGTGTGGCTCACACGTTCTCAATGGAATCGACATCCTGATTCATTGAAGTCCTTCGGCAAGTGTAAGCCACGTGACCTGAATCCCTAGAAAACACAGAGATCACCCAGATACATAATCGCTAGAACCAGTGGAAGGGAAATGGCAGGAATTTGTGGCTAATAGGGGGTTGAAGATGGGACCATCCCTTTTGGTAGCAACAGTTTTCACCAGCTTATGCAAGCGTGAATCTATAAGCTCAGTTTCTGAATGAGTGAGTGAGCCAATATGATATGAGGGGTGATTTGTCTGAATGTGTTAAAAAGAATCTCCTTTTCTTATGACCAATAATACCTAATAGAAATGTTCCACAGGTTTTTAACTGTGTGTTTAATTCTAGCTGAAGTTAATGGAACATATATGTGATTTGCTGAATAGGAATTGGATTGTTCATATGCCTAATGTCAAGCATATCCAAAAAAATCCTGCATAGCTTTGGTCAACCTTCCTCTTGCCCCAAAATCAGAGATTTCTGTTGAAGTGAACAGTACAATGTAGAGACTAGAAAAAAGAATTATCTGAACCTGAAGTCCCCATTTAGTTACAGTTAGAGAATTACTCTGAGGGATAATAAAATCTTGATCTTAGTCAAATGAAATGTGAAATTAGTATAAGCTGTTTTATTTATATAGTGAGCAGGATTTGGCCTTGTGTCTTGAAATCGCTCCAGGAACACATGTATGAATTTATAAAACATCTTTTGAATAGAAAAATGGAACTAAAATCAAAAAGAAACTACAAATCTTTGCTTGAGTAATCAAATAGGAAGGATGAATATATATTCCTTAATGGCAACAGGATAACTTCACAGAATCACACTCTTTACCTTCGAAAATACACTGGAGTATACAAAGTACAAAAGCAGTTTTGAAAGTAGGGGTTTTTTATATGCACAGGTTTTATGCAAAGTGCTTTAAGAGTTGAATCTGTGCAAGCTGATTCGTTATCATTGCTTCACAGCCCTCAGACTACTGTCCTTTGAGGAAATAAGGAACAGAAACCTTGCTGACTTGCCTCAGAGTCTTTCCATTATGAAGTAATTTATACGTAAAGCAATAAATATCCTATCCAACACGACATGTAACCACTACAGCATGAAATTAAACAATTCACCTAGCTTGGGAAAGACTCAGAAAAGGCTGGATGTATCCTTATTAGACAGTTCAGATTATAAGTCTTTCTTTACCTTGGTGAAAATTCATCTGGGAGGAGAGTGGTGAAGTGTCCGATATTTTCTCGTGCAGTCTTTTCCTTATCACATGACTTCTGTTAAGCTGAGAGGCTGTGCTGTCTTCGGTGACTACCCACTCTACCTAGAAGATAGTAGTACTGCAAGTCAATGTCATATGATATGTGGACTTCAGACTCTCATACTGAAGTGATCCTTGCCCTCTGCTTGTCAGAGGCTGCTGATTTGCTTGGTATAAGCAACTTCGTCTTCTCAGATTAACACAAAGCTGGATTGAGTTTTGATGGCCTCATGCTCTCATGTTAGCTGTGTTTAAGAGGGGACACCCTCTATTACAGTGGGAAATAGAGTAATAGAGAGTGCAAGGGAAAAGGTCATCTCAGAATGTTAATGAATACTGGTTGAAAACAGAAAAAAAGTATTTGCAGTGTGTTTTCTTCCAGTTTCATTCAGCTTGTCAACAAAAAATGTTTGTTGATACTTCAAATCTTGAAAAAGACTCAGGTGCTCGCTTATTAAAGACTTCACGTGGTCAGGCTTGATTGCACAGCAAATGCTCAGTTCCACTCAAGGATGATGAATGAAATTCTCAGTATGATGTAAATGTGATTTCTTTGAATTTCACAAAGGAAGTCTGAAACCAGAGTGTCAATGGGGAACTCTTTTCTCTTGTGTGAAGTCCATTCCTTTGGCCAATATGAAGTCTCTGTAAAGGTTACGATTGCTTCAGTATTAACCAAAGAAATTAAGATAATGTAAGCGCAAAAGCTGGATTTGTATAATTTCCCAGGAGTGTAAGAGTGGTGTGAGAGATGGCTTCATTGCCTCATTTGCTTGTACACATGCCCACTCAATTTCCTGCTTAGAAGTCTAGAACCAAATCTCACTTCCTTAATTTATACAAGCATTAATTTCAGGCAACTGCTCACCTGTATCCCATGTTGCTGCTCACTTCTCTCACCAAAGAAAAGGAGATGATTGGAGTATGAGAGTAGTACCTACCTCACTGACACTTCCCACAGCAAACTGGACCATTTTCTTTATGTAGACATTTGCTGGTAAGGAAGCAGATTCCTTCCGATGTGCCTCACATGCTTCCAGAATTGATTCAGGAGAAAGTCTTTTATGTGGCAGATCTTCACATAGTGTCAGCAAGAGCGTGTGTAGTTGATCACTCAGCTGGAGGGACTGAGTCAGAATGGAGGTACCATTAAATGACATCTCCCAGTGGTCTGAAATCCTGTGTAAACTGGGACCAGGAATTTCTGTTACCCTTTCACCCTGGGTGAGAAATTGGCACTGAATTCCTTTAGACTTTGGGAAAATTCCAGACAGGCAGCATAACAGCACTAAACGGAGCCTCTAATGAGATCCAGGGTAGCCTTGGAGGGAACTGGCATCTACAAAGAGGGTCATCAGCCCATGTAGGGACTTCTTGGTGACAGACAACAGCTCAGTCTGCTCCACAGTTTTGCTAATTAGACTGTGAATCTTAAAGATTCATGCAAGTAAGACATTGGCAGCATTAGCTTCAAAAAGGTGAGGAGTTATACCAGCCAAAACTGTTGCCATAGAGACCAGATACTTAAATTTTAGTCATTTAGCTTATAGAGACTTTTCTCTTAGACCATGTATACCCATGAAAGGGAGGTTAAATCTACTAAAAGCTTGTGCTTTCCAAATCAAAAACATGCAATCAAAGGCATGGATATAGAAATGAAGCAAAATGTATGCTACAAATCTTTGAATGGATTCTGGGTAAGCAAGAAATGCAAAATTTCAACTAGCAGAGATGCTGGTAGAATTTACTCAGAAATAAGGAGAGTTAGTTTTATTCCAGTATCCCATTCTTTGAAAAAGCACATAAACGTGCACAGCACCACAATCATGCTGACATGCTTTTCTTTCAGCCCTTCCTATCATAGAATCATAGAATCATCTAGGTTGGAAAAGACCTTTAAGATCATCGAGTCCAACCGTAAACCTAACACTGCCAAGTCCACCACTAAACCATGTCCCTAAGCACCTCATCTACACGTCTTTTAAATACCTCCAGGGATGGTGACTCAACCACTTCCCTGGGCAGCCTGTTTCTTATTACAGTCTTGGAAAAAATAATCTTCACTCTTAAAAGCAAGATACAATTCATCTTAATGGGAACAACTCTGGTTTTTGAAGAAAAAGGAAAAAAAAAAGGAAAGATGAGGCCTAACTAAATTTCTGATTTGGATGAACTGGTATTTTTGATGAAGTCTGGACCTCGACACAAGCTTTCCAATTCTTTCTAGTGGTCCAAAACATAAAGCCCCTCTTACTGAGACTTCAGATTATTCCTCTCAATCTCTGAACCTACCAATATAAGACAGAATAAAAGAAAACAAAAATGTTTGTGTTACTGGCCTGGTTTGGAGGAACCTGGTAGTCTGCTGACCAATAGAGGGTCATTCCTAAGGAATACACCAACATCTGTCAAAACAGAAAAGGAAACCCTTTCTGAAGTCAACATTAAATACAGAAAAGCCTCGTACTAGAGAGACCATCATTTTGTGTCTTTGGTCACAAAATGGCAGAAGCCAAACAGATAATTTTTTTGAAAACTAGACTAGATGAAACATATATAAAAGTACAATAGTGATTCTTGGCTTATGGACTAGAGAGCATGCAATGAGTATTGTTCAGCTTGAGGGGCAGAGCCAGGCTGCCCTCTATCCAATGATGACATGAGGAGGGAAAGAA